TGACTTTTTCTTTTGGGGGCACTTGAAAAATCTTGTTTATTCCACACCTGTAACCACTAGAGAAGAATTAGAAGAAAGGATTTTTTATTGTGCAAATGAAATACGACAAAATCCTGAAATGTTATGGAGAGTGCAACAGTCTTCTGTTAAACGAGCTCGTATTTGTATAAGAGAAGGTGGAACTAATATTGAGAATTTATTATGAATTATATTAGTTACAAAATTTTGATTGTCATGCACTTTTCGTTTAGTTAGTTTAGTTAAGTCCAAATTCTCATAATTTGGAACACTGCTATTGCAAATTATTTGTCCTTTATTCTGATATGTAAAAGCCAACTACGATTAAACCTGTGTTTCTGTTAAATAAAATGTCTCAAATTAAATGGTACCTTCCTCTTTAAACGGGTTTATCTCAAAAAATATCTATTTTATGGATATTCAACAAGTATACCTTTTTTACGTAAAATACCATAGATTTTTATAAAATGATGGTAAATTTGAGGTATAGTGGAACAAAAAATTTGTTTCTACAAATTTAAATGGGGGGTGCCCCGGGCCCCCATAATTATTATCGAGGATTTCATATTATCATTCAAAGCAGCTTCAAATATTATCCAGCCAAAAAATATAGATCCAGCCAAAAAATTTTCAAAATTTATTGAAAAATACAAAAGTTACAGCAAAAAAAACATTTTTAATTCTCAACTTCAAGAGCTAATAACTCTACAGTGTGAGCCCGGAGGAAAAAAAATTATATGAACTTGTGACATTAGTTTCTCATTATCTATCCATATCCGAGAGATTGCCCACCATTTCCGGGACACCCTGTATACATATATCTGAAAGCCTGTTTTAAATATGTGAAATACCCACCGTAGAGTGGAACTACAAATAATAAAAAACTACTAGCCCTTAGACAAAATATTTTGTACGCAACTCAATGGTGGAGATTGTCGAGGACAGAGGGGAGAACAACATCAATTGAGACTAAGTACATCCTTACCTTTATTTCACGAAATTTATATCTGGATCCTCTTCCACATACACCTTGCTGTAATATGCATTCACTCCACGAAGACCACCTGCTTACTTTGCAATTAATCACCTCTCCTACCGGTCCCTGGGACAATATTATGCTACTTGGTCCCAACCCCGCAAACATTTGGTTGGATGGCTCTAACGGTAAACAATAAATCGAGTGTTTCATTTTTTTGTTTAACTAATGTGATATATACACAATTCTACACTCAAACTGAAAGTACAACAATGTAATAATTCAAATGGTTACCAGGGTACCCCTCAGCTGTTACAGTGTATTATAAAATGGTATTCAGATTTAATGTCATATATCACATATATGTATGGGTGAATTCACTATAAATACAGAAACTGTATGTAACGAGCGTTCAAATAAAAACGTGGTCAAGTTGGTTCTGAAAATTTGGACGTAGGGCGTAGCGTATAGCAAATGAACTTAAACGTCATCTGTCAAAGCGCTATATCGCCGCTATCAATTTGAATATTTTCGTTTTAAAAAACGTTTAAAATGGTGTTTTCTCAAGAACAAAAAGTGTTTATCATAAAGTCCTATTTTAGAAATGGACGCAAGATTGATGGAATATGGAAGTATTCTATTGAGGAATGTTTCATAGAATTTCAAAATCAATTTCCCGGCGTTGTTGAGTACAAAATTTTTCAAAGTGCAGTTCAGCGTTGTGTTAATGTTTTTCGAGAAACGGGCAGTGTAACAAGAAAAGAAGGAAGCGGCCGACCTAAAAAGCGGACTGAAGAATTAAAAGAAAATGTCCAACAAATAATGGAAAATGCGCCAAGAACTTCTGTACGTGTTTTATCACAAATGGTGGGAGTATCAGTCGGTACCTGCCACACAGTGTTAAAAAAAGATTTGCGTTTGTTCTCCTATCGTTTAACTTGTCAGCAAGAACTTCATGAAGTTGATTTTCCGCGACGGGTTGTATTTTGTGAATGGTTTTTAAACAACTACGGTGAACTTCATAATATCACCTTTTTTTCTGATGAAGCCTGGTTTCATTTAAGTGGTTACGTAAACTCACAGAATATGAGAATGTGGTCTTCTGAAAAACCAGATAACTTTTTTGTCGAGGGACCTCTACACGCTCAAAAAATTGGAGTTTGGTGTGCTCTCAATCGAAGGAGGATTTATGGACCTATTTTGTTTAATGGTACTCTTACTGCACAAAGGTATAGAGAAGAAATTATCCTTTTGTTAACCAGCTGGAAGAAAACGAAGTTACAAACTTTTACTTTCAACAAGATGGCGCAAAGGCACATACGGCAGGCGAGACGATGAATATGTTGAAGGAAGTTTTCCAAAATCGACTAATAAGTCTCAATGCTGAACATGAATTTCCACCGAGGTCATGTGATATTACGCCGTGTGATTTCTTTTTGTGGCCTTACCTTAAAAACACTATTTTTGAACTGCCTATTCCTGATTTAAACCATCTGCAGGCTCGACTTATAGACAAGATTCGTGAAATTAACAATACCCCGAGCATCGTAGAAAATGTCTTTAATTCTTTGAGGAACAGGTGTGAAAAGTGCTTGGAACAAGGAGGGGGACACTTTCAGCAGCTGCTTTAATTTATTGTTATAACAAGGAGGGGGACACTTTCCGCAGCTCCTTTAATTGTTTGTTATTGTTATCACGATTATTCTTTAAAATAAAGTTATATAGTCCTTAACGTTATTGAAACTGACAGCTGCTATACCGCTCGTTGAGAAATGAGGTTAAGTTGGTCGCTATAAGCTACTCCCTACATCCAATGTGTCAGAGCCAACTTCGACCACGTTTTTATTTGAACGCTTGTTAGAAATAAGTAGAGTTTGCTCTATAAACTTTTTTCCTGGGGACGTGTTCAAGTTTCCAAAAATATATATATATTTTCTCTCATATCTTCATAATGCGCTTACGGAATTGAATGAAATTTACTACAAGAAAAAAAAACTGGCAGTTTCTTGTAGAAATAATGTTACATTCAGGTACTGTTACGTTAAATGAATGAAAAATGTTCTTGGTGTTTGTTGGTTTTTATTTTTATTAAAACTTTTCTCTCTTTCTTTATTCTGGCATAACTATCGTTTTCAAAAAATTTAAAATATCCAGTAGGTACATTCATTAAACAATACATTTTTTCGTTTTATGCATTTTTATCAACCATGCACTATTTTTATTTTCTGTCAAAAACTAGTAATAAAATTAAATCATGACAATATCCTTCACCTTATTATTTTCAAAATAAATATCCATAATTTAGGGCTCTTTTCCTTTTATAAATTTGAGAATAGTAGAAAGTTACTTTCAAACTTCAATATTTCATAAATGGTTAATTTGGATACATGATGTGCTATATGAATTTTGTTTAGAATTTCGAGAAGAATTGAAATATGGAACAGTATACAGGGTGTTGCAGCAGAAAGCTGTTCCAACAGAAAAGCAACTTTGTTTCGTCATGACTTAATTTTTATTTATTGTAATAGATTTTAAAAAATCCTAAAACTTTTGTATCTTATGACTTTTCGATAGCTATCTTACTTTAGGATATAATCGACCGGTTCCATACATATCAGAGACCCTGTATAAATTTTTATCAATCAGATACATTATTATACATATAAAATTTCGTTATTCTAAATCAAACTTGTTAAATACATTTTAGAACACGATTTTTTTAATTTCAACATTCTGTATCTCGAAAACGAAGTATTTCTGTACTTTCCTTCATAGACATTTTTCCCTATTCTGACCACACGAAATCAAATTAAGTTTAGTTAATGAATACTGAAACATCCTTTGATAAATAAACTATCTATTACTGTCTGTTTTATATACAGCAAAAAATATTACGTACCTGATGTGGATTCACTCTCACTATTGCATTCATTAGCAGCGTCGCAATCTACTTCTTGACTGGTATCGCAACCATCTTCGATTTCTTGTTTCGAAATTCTTAATCTCCGCTTTGTTCCTTTCCCACAGGTTGCATTGCATGGTCCCCATGGTCCCCAAAATGTATCAGGGCAATTGGGATCCTAAAAGGTGTAAATTTTTTACAAGACTCTACCAGAATTTTTTTGTATATTCTAAAATTCTGAACTCATAGAACTCTTCCTTCGGTTCAAGCGGTTTAACGTTTGAAATGAAAAATTGAAAATCTCTTATATACAATCTCCAATTAGAAGCGTTCAAGCAATTCTTGAGTTTGCGGGCAATATCATCCAGATTGTGTCAAATTAGATGATATTTCTGAGTATCTCAGAAAATATGAAAAATAGAAAGAAATTGACGTTCTACAACTTGACTTTCAAGGCAAATTGTATCGTTAAACTAGGCATTTGATATACCTGTTTTCAAGTTACACTACGAAGGTGATATTAATATTATTCTCAGCTACTTGGTGGGGTGGTTACTGGATAAGTTACAATAAAGTAAAAACAGAGCTATTTTTTGGAAATAACAACATGACAATTTCGATAAGTCACTGTCAAGTTTGTGTTTTGCAAAGGTCTGTTTCTACAAATGCCTCCTCACAATGAATCTACGAATTATGAAATAAGAGATGATAGTGGTATATGTACAGGAACATTTTAATGGACGCTCTGCTAAGAGAACATAATATGAAGAACTTTATCCGAATCGCAGACAGCTTTCTCATACATTGTTTGCTTCTTTATTCACTAGATTAGGAGAAACTGGAATCGTTCGGTCTAATTCATGAAATGGAAGGTACATTCAAAGAAGGGTACAAGAGGAAGAACATTTTCTAGAAAGAGTAGAAAAAAATTCAGAAATTAGTATTTGTTGTTTGTCAGCAATCACAGGAGTTGACCGCAAAGCCCTTTCAACTATACTCCACACGCAGCAGTTACAATGTTTCCATTTTCAGCCTATACAAAATTTGCTTGAACCAGACCGCCCGCTGAGATTAACATTTTGCGAACGATTTCTCCAGTTACATAACAGGGATCATACTTTTCTCGGGAGAATTGCCTTTACAGATGAAGCTATTTTTAATAGATGTGTTTTTAATAGGAAAAACTCTGTGGAGCGAAGAAAATCCATACGCAATAAAAGAGCATCACTTCCAACACGAATTTAAAGAGATCATTTAAATCAAGAATTTCCAAACCGTTGATTGGTCGAGGTAGTGACTTTCCTTGGCCTTCCCGCTGTCCAGATTTTAATCCGTTAGACTTTTACTTTTGAGGCCATTTGAAAGGAATTGTTTACAAGTCAGTAACACCTAATACGGGGGAAGAACTTTAGGATAGAATAAAATACGCCATATGACAAGTTAGATGAACGTATAATTCGTTTCCTATTCTCAATAATTTCACAAAACGTTTAAGGAAATGTGTCGAAGAGAATGGTGGACACGTAGAACATTTATTATAAGTTAGTACACTTTTCATTACCTACCTCCACTTTCAGTTTATTTTATTTATTATGTTTATTATGGATACGTAGTTATTCTCAAAAAAGTGGGGTATGTGTTAATAAATATTTTCGATAATATCTTCATAACCGAGCATAATTTCGACTTTTGATAGGTATACATTTTTTGTATAAAATAAAATTCTCTACCTGTTTCTGATAGTTACACGTAAAATTTTAAACGTACAAAAAAGAAGAATATTTACAAAAGGTTGTAGTAAAATGAACGCATTGTATGATTTCACATAATAGGAACATAATCACTGCATACTTCATGAAGAGAAACTAAGAAAAGCAAATTTTGCTCAAATCGATTAACTGGGTTTTGAGTTAAGAAGAAAATAAGAAATAAAAAAAGAAACTTTAAACACTCTGTAACTTTTTTTTCTACATTCTTCGTATAAGCAAGTTTGGTTAAATCGACACCATTTGGGTTCTAGATTATACCCTTGAAGTATGTAATATTCGTTAGGTGACACCTTGTATAAACTTATTTTACCTATTTCTCATTATTACACAGGGTGCCCGATAAGTATCTACTAATCTCCAGGGAGCGTATATTATTTTATATTTGCATTTTTAGATTTTAGAACATGTATTTTTTGGTTAGTTTAATTAAACTAATTGTTTCGATTTTATGACATTGGTTTCTGCAACTTTCCATTTCCGCATTTTTAAATTCTCCGCTATTAGCCCAGTCATTATAGACGTGAAAGAGCCTGTTTCGGAAAAAAAAATACTATTAGAATATCAAAAAATCAACTCGAGACTAGTTGGGAAACTTTGTTTTAACAGTGGTCAAAGTTATGGAAAAGTGTTTTTTTGATTCACGTAAAAAAACTATTATTCATAGCGAAAAAAAGTTTATACAAAGAAGGTAGGTATTAAATAAGCCTATAAAATGAGGAAAGTCCGATTAAATTCCGATAATTTGTTTATGCATAAGAGCTCATAAATGGTCGAAAATTGCCTTTTTTACAATTGCTAATAATTAATGCAATTTTCATCGCAGACACTTGTAATTCAGGATTTTTGAGGCTTTTTACACCCTTAATAAGTGGTAAAAATTTCAGCCCGAAAGCTTCATTGGTTTGGCGTTGGCGGAATTTGTTATCTAAGAAGATGCTATTTTCAATTCATTTTTCCCAAGCTCACAGGCGTTGTAGGGTTTCGATCATTAGTTGTTTTTGTACCTAAATAGTTGTATTGACATATGCATTTACTGAGAATTTAGTTTTTCAAATTTAATTTGTTTAAAAATGACTGAAAAAATGTTAATATTTATTAAATTGTTAAGATAGGTAATTATTATAAAATAAAATAGTAACCTCTTTACTTTAGTTTTCTTCGAATTTAAAAAAAAAACCGTTGTTGTAAGTTGATTAGAAGCTGAGATAATTTTTTTTATTTATTTAATCGCAGTGACCTTAATTATTAATATTAAGAGCCGAAATTTGGAGAGAGTATACATTAAGAGCTATATTTTCATGTCCTACATTAACATTAAGGTGAATTCAACTATTTAATTTCGAAAAAGAAGATAGCGGCGATGCGTTCTATTACTTGGTCTAGCGAACGAGTGGGGAAGGCGAGGCTTAGCATGCGCGCTTAACGATGTAATAAATATTAACATTTTTTCAGTCATTTTTAAACAAATTAAATTTGAAAAATTAAATTATCAGTAAATGCATATGTCAATACAACTATTTAGGTACAAAAACAACTAATGATCGAAACCCTACAACGCCTGTGAGCTTGGGAAAAATGAATTGAAAATAGCATCTTCTTAGATAACAAATTCCGCCAACGCCAAGCTAATGAAGCTTTTGGGCTGAAATTTTTACCACTTATTAAGGGTGCAAAAAGCCTCAAAAATCCTGAATTACAAGTGTCTGCGATGAAAATTGCATTAATTATTAGCAATTGAAAAAAGCGGACAATTTCGACCATTTTTGAGCTCTTGCGCATAAACAAATTATCGGAATTTAATCGGACTTGTCTTATTTTACAGATTTATTTAATACCTACCTTTTTTGTATAAACCTTTTTTTCTCTATGAATAACAGTTTTTTTACGCCAGTCGAAAAACTACTTTTCCATAATTTTGACCATTGTTTTAACAAAGTTTCCCAACTAGTCTCGAGTTGATTTTTTGATATTTTGTTTATAACACATTTCTGAACAATATTCCGCAGAGAAACTTCTAATAGTATTTTTTTCCCAAAAAAAAGCTACAATGGCCTATATTACAATGTATTCCATTTGCGCCTATCATTTTTCTTATTTTTTTTGTAAATTTATTATTTATACGTTTCTGAACTTACTTACTTCTTCGCAGTTTTTGTCTCCTTCTTTGCATACCGAATTCTTTGTAGAATTATCATTTTCATTACTTGATTCATTGTCATCTGCAGGACAATCTACGAAGCAGATCTTATGTTCTACAAAATTAAGCCCACACTGAGTAGCTTGTTCTTCGTTCATGTGAGCTCTTTGTCTGACTTTTAGACCTGTGCCGCAGCTATTTGAACAGGGTGTCCAGTTTAACCAGTCGGTTCTGGAGCAATCTGATTCAACTTCAGTTTCATTTTCGCATACTTTTGAGTAAAGGCGTTGTCTGGTAACGCGGAGCTTGGCTATAGGTTTCATTTCTTCCCCTTCTTCGCTAAAGAATGGGGACTTGGGGTCATTGGGATTATTCGGTGTTATTCTTCGGACTGGTTGCCAATCTTGAGTAGGTTCGGAAGACTAAAATAAAAAATTTAGGTACTTATTCCCTTTAAAAAATAAATAAATATATAAATAACAAATCAGAACTCCTATTTTTATCTTTTCTTCTTATCATCTTCTTTTCCTACCCTCAAGTTAAAGGACCCATCTGTCGATGACAAACAGTCAATATTTCCTCCAATAATGAGATTCTTAATAGTTTGAAAACATCTACAAATTTTGTACAGTTTTTGGGCTTGGTTTTGGTGCAATAGTATTATTTGACACGTTATATTGCATTATAATTTCTCTACAGAAGTAATTTATCATTAGAATGCAATAAACCAAAATGTCATGGTTTTTTCTTTCTCGCAAATTAAAGGTAATAATATTTTATTTTCAATATATTATTTTCAGTCTTTCTTTAATTTGATAAAGTTGATAATAAATTAGTAATAAATTAGTATAATAATACGGATTTTTTTTTAGAACTGTTGCGCAATAGGTTATAATATAATATAATACTATACGAGATCTGTTCAGAAAATAACTGAACTTTATTTTTTAAATTAATCAATGAAATTTAACTAATTAAACTTAATTAAACTAATTAAACTAACTAAACTTAACTTAATTAAAATTAATTTTATACATTATTGGTCCTTATCTTTTTCAAAGTACTCCTCTCTTCTATTCAGACACTTGCTCGCCAGCGGTGTTTCCATTTCGCGATATAGTCCTGGATAGCTTCTTTAAAGTCTGTGACGAATTTGCTTTGATGTCATCAATAGTCTGAAAACGGTTTCCTTCCAGCACCGATATTAATTTGGCAAATAAGAAAATATCGCAAGGAGACAGGTCTGGCGTGTAAGGAGGGTGAGGGAGGACAGTAATTTGATTTTTGGCACAAAACTGACAAATTGACAAAGCTAAGTATGCGGGTGCATTGTCATGGTGCAAGAACAAGAACCATGAGTTGTCTCGCCACAACTCTGATCTCTTTTTCTGAATTATTTTTGATAGTATACACGGTTCATTTTACCTTGAGGCAAGAATTCAAAATGCCGTTCCATTAAAGTCTAAGAAAACAGTTAGCATCACTTTGACTTTCGAGACTGACGTGCTTTCTTGGGGTGTGGAGATGCTTTGCCAATCCATTGTGATGATAGAACTTTTGTCTCAATGTCTTTGCTCCCTTTATGATCCTTTGAATGAATGTTTCATCGTCAGTGGATTGTTCAAGGAGTTGCTGACAAACATCCATAGATATTCTTTCTGCTGTCATCAAACGAGGAACAAATTTTGCTGCTACTCGATGCATGTTCAATTTGTCCGTGAAAATTTCATGGCATGACCCATGGCAAGTTGCACGCATCAGATCTTTGACTTTCTGAAAGTGGGAGTCACCAGTTGAAGTCGAAGGAGTCCTAGTCGAGGATTATCTTCAATTGACTGATGACCACTTTTAAATTATGAAAACCATTCGTAACATTGCGTACGATCCAGAGCATCATCTCCGTAAGTTGGTTTCAAAAGTTGAAGCCAAACGTTTCCTTGAAAGTTTTCCCCAGTTTCACGCAAAATTTTACGTTGCATCGTTGTTCCTTAAAATCACACATTTCAAAAATCACCACTAATACTTACACTTAAATGAAAATATCACGAAAACTGAATGAGATATCAACAATCCAAGAATATGTGGTTACAGAGGAGGTTGCATATCACTAAATATTTTCATTAGCATATAATTCAAAAAGTTCGATTATTTTCTGAAACAGACTTCGTATGTTACATTTAAACGATAATTATATGTACAAACTAGCGGATATATTTCTATCGGTGAAATTATTAAAAACTTTTTAAGTAAAAAATAAGAGTATGAGGGGGATATCACCATAATCGATCAAAAAAACAGAATGAAAAAATTAAGAATTGCGATTGCTTCGGTTCTTTTTCAAGATTTCTATTGATTTTATTTCAATATGAAAATCCAAATTCAGTTCAAATCAATTGAGGATGTTACAATTTGGCTAATAGATTCTATGTTATAGAAAAATTCATAAATTACATAGTCTTTGATACTAATTATACAGGGTGTACCGGTACTTGATACAAAAAAGTCGAGTACAAATAGATGAGGTCAAAATAATATCAGTGCTTCTTTTAATTTTTTTTCATACGGGCCTTCGTTAACAAATTATGGTCCCTCAAAGGTGAAAATTAAAAAGTTATTTTTATTTACAGTCTCTAAACTATTAACTTCAGCATGATGGTGATCGATAACTTTGATGTTGTAAGTGAAACTTCATTATGCCCAGAACGCCAGGGACGGGCTATGCCCAATGGTTAACAACCAAAAATTTTTGCATAGATGACGATCGCAATCTGCCTGCATCAAAAATAAGTTTCCTGAAGAATTTACCAACGATAATACCCTCTTGGTTCAACTCGGTAAAATTAACAGTTTAGGAAATATTTGTGATTTTATGTCACAGTGCACATCGAGCGGCGCCTCCACCATTTTTTGTTTTTAATTTTTAATTGGACATAGTTACTATGTTAGAACCGTACATATTTTTAAAATAAGAGCCTAGAAATTTATACTGCCTGCTAATGTAATTTCCACTAATAAAATTTGACAAACATACTTTTAGTTCAGTATATAAGTACATCTCTCCTTGCAAAAAATAGGGTTTTATTTTTTTATATTGTTCGGTATGCTGTGGGTAATGTAAAACCAAGTTTGCGACCTCGTACGACCTGGTGAGAATTATTAGTGAGCAAAAAACCAGGAAATTGCCGGACTTTTTTCAGTTTTTCGCTTATAACTTTCAAACCATGGTTTCTAGCGAAAACCTCACTATTACAATAATTACAGAGTATAAAATTCTGCGTCGAATGAGTACCTCAAAATTTGATTTTGATCCAGTAACATGGTCGAAATCGACGTTGGAAAATTGAAATTTTATACCATTTTGTTAGGTAGTTATATGTTTGTATATCTTATATATAAAATTCTCGTGTCACAATGTTCGTTCCCGTACTCCTCCGAAACGGCTTGACCGATTCTCATGAAATTTTGTGAGCATATTGAGTAGGTCTGAGAATCGGCCAACATCTATTTTTCATACCCCTAAATGTTAAGGGTGGTCCACCCCAAAATTTTTTTTTGTTGTTTTTTGGACAAAATTTTATTTTTTTATTTTTTTATGATGTGGCCTTAAAAAATACATACAATCCTAAATTTTCACCCTTCTACCATCAACCCTTATTTTTTAATAGCGATATTAGTAATTCAATAATTTTCAACCCCGGTCGATAACTGATCAATTATCACTTGATCATTTTTTTTATCCCCGCCAGGCGTCGACCGGTGTCACTTCTGACCCAGTAAACAGCACGGAGTAGGGATGAGATCTCTCTCACACAATGAGCCGTTTCTCACTCCCTACAGTTTTCGGCCATTATTATTATTGTTTGTGCATCAACCATAATAATGACATTTACTATTACCATTCATAAAAAAAATATATACACGATATACACTGAATAAAACTAAATATAATATAGATGGTAGAAGTGAAATTTCTTTATGAAAAATCTACTAAAATAATCCTAGGAATAATTTATTTGGCAAAACAACGTTTGCCGGGTCCACTAGTAATTTATATACATAATGTACCTTCTATGTAGGTACATCTAGGTATAGCAGGAAATGACATAGTAAAAGCTTCAATGAATTAAAATGTTTATTATTCGAAAGGGGTAAACATTACGATGGATATATAAAACATGGTCAATGATGGGGGAATTACATAAGTCTTTGACGTTTAGAAGGCCCAGGTTGATCGTAAGTTCCCGGTACCGGACAAACTGATTCAACGTAATCTTGTTCACAAGCTTCAACATCAAGTTCCTCATCTGCTTCAACACAATCCTCATCACTGTCTCTCTCATCAATCTCAGTTGGCGGAGTGTTAGTGCACGAAATTCCTGGACAGTTTTTGCAAACTGTAGTGCAATTCAAACCAGATTTTTTGTAAGTGCATGCACTATTGCATCCTTTCTTACAGTTGCAGTATATTAGTTGCCGCAAAGTCTTTGGTGCTGGATCGTTTTTCATTTTGTTCGAAATGAGGCCAGTACTGTCACGTTTCCATCCCCATTCTACTGGATCTAGATTGTTACCCAGCCAGCATTGCACTTGGTGGAATGTGCGGAACGCATGGTTTTCAGCTGCATCTTTTGTAGGTGGCAATCTGAGTAGGCTGATCTTTGTTTTTGTACTCATCTTGACAAACATCTGGTATGTAATATCGTTGATTCCCTGACTAGTGCTCACTCCAGGATTCTACAGTGCCATAAAAAGTTTCTCTCCTGCACGGTTGATTTCGTCTTTGGTTGCTTCAGACTTGTAGAATACTGAAGCAAGTTTCTTGAGCTCAAGGTTCTTCTCAATAAGGGTACACAGTTTGGTCTTTCCATGGCCGAATGGGGATGAGGTTGTATCACAACCACTGAATGCATGTGCAAACAGAATGTAGTGAGGGTTATACTGATACGAGTCGCCTCAAGGGATAAGAATGCAGGGAGGGAGGGGAACAATGTAACAAAGCCTCGTCGAACAAAGATGGGTTCCCCAAACACCTGCCATTCTCTCTCTCACTCCTTCACTCGATCTCACTTTCTCTACCCCTTTCCGTCTTACGAAAAACAAGGTAACACCTGCCTTCCTACCCCCTTTCCCCCCGTACGAATCTATGACACTTCCTATTTATTTCTAAAAGTATGTCAAATGTTTATATAAATACGTTGTTTAAAACGTATAATGCGCAGCTTGTCACTTAGAAGATAAATTTTCCGAATAAGTGGAAAAAATGTCTATGATGAGGGTAAGACTTGCCCACAAAAAGTTTTCCACAGGTCGTACGAGGTCGCAAACTTGGTTTTACACTACCCACAGCTTACCGAACAAGATAAAAAAAAACCTTTTACCCTATTTCTTGCAAGGTGAACCCTTCTCACACTACGCATATACTGGACTATTTACACAAACACAAAATAGAAAAACAAAACAATAATTGTAATAAAAATAACTTAATTTTTAATTTTCACCTCTCAGGGCCCGTAATTAGTTAAAGAAGGCCCGTATGAAAAAATTATTTGAAGAACAGATATTATTTTGACCTCATCTATTTGTACTAGACTTTTTTGTATCAAGTACCGGGACACCCTGCTCCATAGACACGTTAGTCTGAAAGACGACGAAATGTTCGTCTCAATGAAATTATTAAATATTATTCAAACCTGTAAATCTTCTTTACTTACTTCATAATCAAGGCCATTATCGATTCCAACATCCCAAGGATATAGATTTAAAGATACAGTTTCCTTCCAAGTACAATTTTCTGTACATAGTTCCAAATTTGCAACCCCAACGATCCAATCTGGAGATGGAATAATTTTTGTAACGAGAGATACTAAGTGGTTTTTCTTGTCTACACGAAAAACTGCATAGGTAGATTTCGTAATATTTGGATACTGAAGACCACGAGCCTTTATAATTGTTCTTATGTGTCCGCTCTGCAAATGGTAAAACCTAGTTTAATATGTTAACGAAAATGACTACTGTACTACAATTGTATTGTTAACTATACAAATACAGGGCGTTTATTAAGTACTTGGTACAAACTTTAAAGGGTGAATGTTTGACTAAATTTAAGATAAAAAGTTCATATGAACATGGATCCGCAACGGCTTGGATCTTGAGACACAAGGCATTGTTTTACAATAATTGTACATTGCAATACAATCAATAAAAGACACAATTTTTCCATTGTTTTTCAAAAACTCTTAATGATTCAACAGAGGTTTAAATTTAAACCCGTTTTTTACAAAACGGCTGCTTTCAGCGACAAATACTAAGAGTATCTTTTGTACGTAAAATTGAATGGAGAATAGGTATGTTTAGTCAAAAATGACATACAATGCAACACAAAAAAAGTTGTGGTTATTTAAATAAAAGTACAACGCTGTATGTTGTCAATTATTACTATTTAAATCCAGTATCTGAGGCAACATCTACTACAGTCGGATCCCAAAATAATAGTCCGGCTCAACATTTTTAGCAGTTAAGACAAAGATAAGTACGAGCCGTTTATAAATTCTTCGTATAAAATTGTGTGTGCCGCAATCTCCCAGAGCAGTCAATTTTGCACAGTGTTAGGATATTCTTCTGCTGCGTTTGGCGTGCACCAGATATTGTTCTGCTGCAGCAAATTTTAAAGTCTCATTGTTTTCCATTTCATGTTTGGAGCGTGACGTCTATTGGGTTGGGTTTATTCGGTTCCGGGCAATTCTGTCAGCATTTGCCTATTTAGGCGTATGCGCGGGAGAAGTCCGAGGATATCTTTCCATTAATTTAATTGTGATTAATTTATTAGTGATTTTGGGTTTGCGGTCTTAAAAATGGAGAGTAATTCAAGCTAGATGGTATTTTAAAACGAGCTTCCGACAATAAAAAAATTCAGGCTGCTATCTCACAGGATCAAAATTTGCCTAGAATATCTAGAAAGATGCTTTTGCGAACTATGCGTGACATGAATTTCCGTTCTATAAAAGTCGAAAAAGTATGCTGATAGAAAAAGAGGAAATAGTGATATGGTGAAGAAACTATTTAAGACAAGTATTACCTAGAAGCTCGAAAACTAAATCGTAGAATATATTACACGGACGAAACATGGATAAATGAAGGTCATACGGTAGCAAAAGTGTGGCACGGTGGCAATATCCAAAGTGAACGGCAAGCATTTCTTGAAGGATTTTCGACTGGATTAAAGTCACCTTCTGGAAAAGGGCGGCGTTAATAACACATATTGGAAGTACAGCAGAATTTTCGAAACAGGATGTATATACAGGGTTATCCAAAAGTCCCGGTACGGGAGATAAATTTTCGAAGAAAGCATTTTGGGAAAAATATTTCAGACAAACGTGTAGGGATTTTTCCCTGGCTATCTGATGGTGACCTTGAATTTGACCTTAACTTTGACTTTCAAGGTCATTTGAAGGTCAAGTTATATTTTTTAAATGGATGCCTCTATTTTTTATTGCCGATTTGGAAAGAGTAGGAAATTTTACGTCCAAATGTGGTTTCGACCATGACTTTGACAATGACCTTCAAGGTCAAATGTGGGTCGAATTCCAAATGTCCCGGTACAGCATAACTTCCGAAGAATGCATTTTGGGAAAAAAGTTTCAGACATAAGTATAAGGATTTTTTCCTGGCTATCGGATGGCGACCTTGGATATGACCTTGACTTTGGCCTTCAACGTCATTGTCCCACATTTGACCTTGAAGGTCATTGTCAAAGTCATGGTCAAGACCATATTTGGATGTAAAATTTCCTGCTCTTTCCAAATCCGCAATAAAAAATAGGGGTTCCTATTTAAAAAACTTAACTTGACGTTCAAATGACCTTGAAGGTCAACGTTAAGGTCAAATCCAAGGCCACCATCAGATAGCTATTGAAAAATTTTTACACTTTTGTCTAGAACATTTTTTCCCAAAATGCATTCTTCGAAAGTTCTGCCGTACAGGGAGTTTTGGAAGTCGACCCACATTTGACCTTGAAGTTTATTGTCAAAGTCATGGTCAAGACCACATTTGAACGTAAAATTTCCTGCTCTTTCCAAATCCGCAATATAGAATAGGGATTTCCATTTAAAAAACTTAACTTGACTTTCAAATGATCTTGAAGGCCAACGTTAAGGTCAAATCCAAGGTCACCATCAGATAGCCAGGGAAAAATTCTTACATTTCGGAAAAGATGGATATACTTACTTTAGATTTTAAATATTTTTATTGTACCTACTTACATCGTTCTTCAGTTCCGATTCTAGGGTTTTTATTTCTCCAGTTTGAGCAAGTTCTTTCAACCCATCAGTGGCAGTTGCTTCGTATTTCCAAAAAGCATGGTATAACTGATGGGACGCTCCGATCACGTCACTGAACTTCGTATTCCATTGGTCTATTGGAAAGTGTCTCGGATGAGTATTTCTCGTCCATTTTCCCTCGAATGCAAGCTGTGGTTCAATTTACATTCAAATTATTTATATAAAAAGATGGTGGAATTATTGAAAAATTAAAAAAAAAGAAAAATTCCTCGAATATGTATCTGTAATAATCTGAGAGATGTAGTTGAAAAGTGTGCTAAGCGAAACGTGGTAAAAAAGGATGATTGTTACCAGTTGCCTGACGACTAGAGACCGACCGAATGTGATTTTTTTGGCCGAAGAAAACATTTAATTTTATTCGTTGCAGCTTTTGAAGGCAGGGTCGAATTCATTTGTCATAGAAGTGTCATTTGAAAATGAAAATGTTTATAACTATAAAAAACGAAAAGGTTTTTTTATTAAGAAAATAAGATATCTTGTAATTGTTAGACCTCTTTCAGATATTTCTGCCCTTTTTCTAATTGCGTAAGGATTTACAGATTTAGATGTAACATATTTTGTCATATCGGACATTGGTAGGATCCGAAATGCGTATAGATATTTTAACTAAATCTCACTTATTAGACCGTGCGAGGCCTAATTACTCATGGACAATGTTATATGGTAGGTCGTGACAGTGACAGATAATATCATAACAACATTGTTATTGTTTGACAGCTTGTATTATTATTTAATTAAAATGGGTTACACAGAAGTGGAAAATGTGAATATTATTAGGAATTAAAATATTCTTATTTTAATTCCTATAATATTTGAATGTTCTACTTCTGTTTTAATTAAATAATAATACAAGCTGTCAAACAATAGCAATGTTGTCATGACATTACCTGTTACTATCATATACGACCATATAACATTGTCCATGAGTAATTAGGCCTCTCATGGCCTAAATTAGACTTAGATTTTAGATTTAGTTAAAATTCCGATACCTACGCATTCCTATCAATGTCCGATATGTCAAAATATGTATATTACAAATAAATCTGTAAATACCTACCTACATATTTGGGAAATAGTCATAAATCCCTGAAACAGGTCTAACAAGTACAAAATGTCTCATTTTATTAGTAAAAAACCTTCTTTTCGTGTTTTAATAGTATCTCGTTTATTGTTGGAGATGGACACAACAAACCCTTTATGACTATGCTCGTCAGGGAGCGTTCTATCCAAATATGAAAAAATGTACATGGTGTTCTATTTAAATTAACAAAGTTAACATCCGCGGCCATTTTGCTTGGACTTAATTTGTTTTTCTACTATTATTTCCGAAAACTTCATAAAAAATCGTGCAACATTTGTATTTAACATTTTTTTTTATAACTTTAAAAACAAAAAAGTTAAAGGGGGGTCAATATTCACAACTTATCCAAAAAAATTTGGGAATAGATGCAGCATGAGAAATGGAATCAATATCGTAAAAAAAATTTCTGTAAAATCCTTATAGTTTCCGAGAAAAAAAGTATTGAAGTTATAGTACATTCAACCACTACATAGCTGGACAACTGTAGTCTCTAGTGTCATTCGCGTGGCCTCAGCAATTCCGAATACTAAAAAATAGTATATACCTGTTATCTGTGGTGTTTACAATAACTTTTTAGTAGTTAGTGTTAAAAATGGTTTGCGTGTAGAGCAACTCGGAGTTGATGGATATCGTTTTAATTTATGGTGAAGCAAGACAACATTTGTATTATGGTGAAGCATTTGTGTTATGGTGAAGTAAGACAACATTTGTGTTAGTTCGTAGAAACTGAGTGTAAGACGGACCCAAATGTGTTTACACGTTGGTGGATAAAATTTTGAACAATTGTTGTTGTAACATTGGGTATGTCAAATGATTTTATTATTTGAAAACACAAATTCATTTTATTAATTAATAATAACAGTAAAGGCAAAATCAGTTGAATTTGCCGATATAAAATAGGTGCTATAAAATTCTATTTATTTCTTACCTTGCGAAAGTTTTTGTCCGTTTTTATCACATCGTTATGCGGGTCGCATTGTGCGGTCAGGTTTTACAGTGGACCAGTTTCCAGTGCCGTGCAGAAGTGTATTTTTAAATCACTTTCGAACTGCCCTTTTTGATTTTTTTCTTTACAAAATTGTATTTGTAAGGGTCCCCTGTACATCCAGATTTTTTTTTTGAATAAGTTCTGAATCACCCTGTATAGTGAATAACTCTGTACGCGCATTGCGGTCCAAATAACGAGCAGCATTTAAGTAAGAAATGAGGGAACCCACGAAATCTATAGGTACTCCAAATCTCAGGTATGCCGCGCCTCAGCTAGAACTCAAAAATTATGGAGTAATTTCGATGATAAAACTCATAAATAGATATGATAATTCGCACAGCCATCGTATCAGACAAAATCAATTTTGTTCCAACCGATTTGTATGCCGTTTAAAAAACTTGCATAATTAGGTAGATATTACCTGTTAATTGCACTTGTTCATTGGTCAGCATGATACCTTGAAGGGCATATGTGGAGAAGTCATATGGTTTTTTTGCAGCGGACTGACGGCTTATATTCATTTATTGCAATAGACATATCTCCTGTACCATTCAAGATCAAAACTTATTATATTATTGCAATTTAATAAAGAATAAAAAGTTTATTTTGTTAGGCTTTTTAAGACCACAAAATTCAGTCATGATAAAAAAGTCCAGCTGTTAGCTGTAAATATTTCTTATTAAACGTTTCGTTTTAAAAAATTATTGCTATTAACTCGTGCTCTAAAACAATACCAAATTTGTTCTTCAGTACATTGCGTCTTGAATTACACTACATTTTATTTCCAAATTGTATATTTAACAGATCAAACATAATAAAAAATATTGCTTTTACATGCTACTGTCACAGTTACAGTTACTTAGTGGTGACAATAATTGTAAGAAAAATGTAGTGAACATTTTTAGTCAAAATCATGCCAGTAATTAACTAAGTATAAAGTTTTTGAAATATTTATTTATTTCCTGTGTAATATCATCGAAGATTTGGTTTTCTCGAATATAATATTTTAAGCGGCGTTGATGTTGTTTAATTGATTAAGCCATGCTTATGCTTTCTTATGCACTGGCCCGAAGACCTACCTCATATTTGGCCTCATCACATGCACAACATTTTGTGTTAATTATCGGCTGAACATTTTCGTCCTCTAATGTTTCTTCACATAATTTTTTGGTTAACGATTCGTCCTCGCTGAACCAATTTTCTTTCGATTCGACCACAGTGGCTTTTATGTTAACACATCCACTACCTGATGGAGGAGCTATCCAGTGAACCTGAAACGAACTTTATATATATAGGGTTACTGATATGTATGGAACGATCGAAAAATCATAAGACACAAACTGTTTAGGGTTTTTTTTTACAATCTATTACAATAAAGAAAAAATGGGTATACGGGATTAGTAAAAAAGTCATGACGATACAAAGTTGCTTTTTCTTTAATGGAACACCCTGTATATTACTCCCTATTTCAATTATTCTCGAAATTCTAAACAAAATTCATATAATACCTAAATGTATGTAAGTTAATCATTTTCGAGATATCGAACTTGTTTGAATATTGATTGCTGTTTTATTTTGTGTTCCTACATATTTTCTTCCAAAATTATTTGCATACAGCGTGATACCATTTACCATTTCTAATTAAAATTTTAATAATTATCACAGCCTCACAAAAAAAAACGTGGCAGGTCCGAAAGACAAGACCATGGTACCATATGGTTTTGGGGTCGCTGAATCCGAATCCGGTGTCCGTTTGATACGATTAGCTCTGGTTTAAGATCAATTCAAGGTCAAATGTAAAAAATCAATTGTCAACAAACTAAACCGATGTATATATACGTTTTTGGGGTCGCCGAATCCAATTCCGATATCCGTTTGACGCGATTAGCTCTAATTTAAGGTCAGTTCAAGGTCAAATATAGAAAATCAATTGGCAACAAACTAAACCTATGTATCATACGTTTATGGGGTCGCCGAATCCGAATCCGGTGTCCGTTTGACGCGATTAGCTCTGGTTTAAGGTTAGTTCAAGGTTAAATGTAGAAAATCAATTGTCAACAAACTAAACCTACGTATCTATACGTTTTTGGGGTCGCCGAATCCCAAAAACATATAGATATGTAGGTATACTTTGTTGGCAATTGATTCTCTACATTTGACCTTGAACTAAACTTAAACCAGATCTGATCGAGTCAAACGGACACCGGATTCGGATTCAGCGACCCCAAAAACGTATAGATACGTAGGTTTAATTTGTTGGCAATAGATTTTCTATATTTGACCTTGAACTGACCTTAAACCAGAGCTAATCGTGTCAAACGGACACCGGATTCGGATTCAGCGACCCCAAAAACGTATAGATACGTAGGTTTAATTTGTTGGCAATAGATTTTCTATATTTGACCTTGAACTGACCTTAAACCATAGCTAATCGTGTTAAACGGACACCGGATTCGGATTCAGCGACCCCAAAACCATATGGATACCATGATCTTGTCTTTCGAACCTGCCACTTTTTTTTGTGGGGCTGTGATTTATAATAAATTAACATAATTTGTATTGATAGATTTTATTCCTATTACTTTTATAATATTTTTTTCCTGCCAACATTATTTGTTCATTGTGAATTGGTCCCTGATTATTTTCATGTAAACATGACTGGCCAGGACAAGACGACGAAGAAAACTCAGTAATGATTACTGGGAGTTGTCATCGTGAGACTTCGCTGACTGTGCTCCAGTCTTGCAACAAGCGCTATTGATGCTGGTCTCATTGCAGCTTCATTAGCCGAGAGCGCTGTCTATTACCACTGACAGATTGGGTTCCAGTTGACATTCAATCAGTGTCACTGTCTACTATCCAGGACGCACTAGGAGTGACGGGCGACTGTGCATATAAGGGGTGATTCACAACTTATCCAAAAAAATTTGGGAATAAATGCAGCATGAGGAATTGAGTCAATATCGTAAAAATTTTTTTTATAAAATCCTTATAGTTTCCGAGCAAAAAATTATTAAAGTTATAGTACATTCAACCACTACATAGCTGGACAACTGTAGTCTCTAGGGTCATTCGCAATACGCATGGGGAGCCACGTGGCCTCAGCAATTCCGAATACTAAAAAATAGTATATACCTGTTATCTGTGGTGTTTACAATAACTTTTTAGTAGTTAGTGTTAAAAATGGTTTGCGTGTAGAGCAACTCGGAGTTGATGGATATCGTTTTAATTTATGGTGAAGCAAGACAACATTTGTATTATGGTGAAGCATTTGTGTTATGGTGAAGTAAGACAACATTTGTATTATGGTGAAGCATTTGTGTTATGGTGAAGCAAGACAACATTTGTGTTAGTTCGTAGAAACTGAGTGTTAGACGGACCCAAATGTGTTTACACGTTGGTGGATAAAATTTTGAACAATTGTTGTTGTAACATTGGGTATGTCAAATGATTTTATTATTTGAAAACACAAATTCATTTTATTAATTAATAATAACAGTAAAGGCAAAATCAGTTGAATTTGCCGATATAAAATAGGTGCTATAAAATTCTATTTATTTCTTACCTTGCGAAATTCTTTCAAGTTTTTGTCTGTTTTTATCACACCGCCATGCCGGTCGCATTGTGCGAGGTTAGGTTTTACAGCGGACCAGTTTCCAGTACTGTGCAGAAGTGTATTTATAAATTATTTTCGTACTGCTCTTTTTGATTTTTTCTTTACAAAATTGTATTTGTAAGGGCCCAATGTACATCCAGAATTATTTTTTTGTATAAGTTCTGAATCACCCTGTATACCCGGTAGGACTCTTGGTGAGGTGACTCTTGTCGGCCAGAAAACTTACACTAGTTAATTTAATTAAGTAACTTATATTACAAAATAATCCTCTGCTAATTCAAAATTTTATACTATAACCTTTTGTTTAAACCTATTAGTAGTAGTTTAATGGTCCTCTTTATATGAAAATTAAATTTTTAGCTATGTTTCTATTCAATCCTTTAGTATATGTATTTAATCCAAACCTACCTTGAAGACCTTATTTATCTTATCTATATTAAATCACCTGCAACTAACCAATGACAGAAAAGTATGAAGATCTATTCTTACTGGATCCTCTCTTGAACCCCTGAGTTAGTTGGAGTTAATTTGTCCTTCACATTGAACTACCAATTGGTCGAAAGGTGAGAACTTGGACATTGACTCTAAGGTTGGTTGCATATGTACTGTTTTCGAAAATTACAATGAAACAAGTCTGATGGCAAATTTGTGTAGCATGCAACCAGAATACATTTCTGTAAACCTTTAGCGTTCTATTATTATTGCAATATTATCAGTCGGATAGCAAATGACTAAACTCACCTGTTTAATTAAGTTCACAAATATGATAATTTGATTAAATGATTTATAATTTAGCTTACCCGAATTTCCTTTTTGTGTATTGTACTAGTTTCAACTATAGTATTGGGGCAGGAATGACTAAACCTAGCCAACATTTCGGTATCATATTCAAAGCCCAGATGCCCCAAAGCATGGTCCTCACTTTCAGGATCATCTGGTTCTAGCGTTATCATGAAATTTATGAATGCCTTTTGAGGATAACCAGATTTCAAAGAAACTAAAAAACAGAATTCGTGGTTTTGCCAGAAATATATTGAAGTATATTTTAATGAAAATAAAGGTAGTATTACATACATCACAATACACCTTGTGGATGATTTGATTTCCAGATCTACTATAAATGAACTAATTTACTGTTTTTGAATATATTTTCATTTTAGAAGGCCGCACTGTGGGAAATATGGGAAAAAATTCTAAACACTCGACTATTTTAACCGTACAGTAGTAATTTCTTTTTTTATTCTTCAAATATGCTTAATTTTATGATCTTGATGCGATAATGTGTTATATCTATATAGGAATCTCTTATATCGAGTGAGAACCCATCAGCCTCAACACCAAAGATAATAATTCGGTAAGTAGTTAAAAATTAAAAAATAGAAAATTTCGTATCTGAAGTTGATTAAACAAAGAAAATAATCATGTAGCTTAATTTAAATAATTTAAACCGTCAAATTCATCAAACCTAACCTCAAAGTTACACTGACTCTTTTCTAAATCTATGGGTATAATAGAAAATTATATAAAAACCTAACCGCAATCCCTTCAAAACTTAACACCAAACCTTCAAAATTCAACTTCAAATTCTAAAAACTTGGGCTGGAAATTCATAGAATTCTGGAACTTATATTTTTTATTTTTGAAGCCCTTAACCTCTAGACTTAAATATCTAACCTCAAATCCACTTTCCAAACAAAAGAATGAAAATTTTGTTTCCAAAAAAAAGAACCAAACAAAAAATAAATAAAAATAAAAAACAGAAAAACAACTTTTTTAAAGACTACTACCTTGACGTGGTAAAAGGGCTAGTGTCTTATATAAATAAAGATAACGAATAATTGTAAATGATATAAATTTTGAGTCTGAGTTTTTAGCAGAAATTGTTGAAATTTCTATAATTTTTCGAATGAAATTTTATCTATCTATCTAGATATCCACATATTTTTTGTGAATTTGAGAATAAGTTTCCAGGGTTTGAGGTTAGGTTTTTATGGACATAGCATAGGTTTGAGGCTTCAGAAATACAAAATATTAGCTCCAGAAAAGAGTTTTCAAGAAGTCACATTCTTTGGAAAATATTTTTCGTTCGACTTTCTATCTCAGATTTCTTGGATTTGAGGTTAGATATTTAATGATAGAGGTTAAGGCCTTCAAAAATAAAGAATATAAGTTCCAGAAAATAGTTTTCAATTACTTATTCTATGAATTTCTAGCTCAAGTTTTAAGAACTTGAAGTTAGGTTTTGAGGGTTTGGGATTAGGTTTTGAAGGCTGCGAGGTTAGGTTTTTATGTTTGTAGGTTAATGGCTTTCAAGTTAGGAATTATAAGCTCAAAAATATAGTTTTTAAGTAATTATACCTAGGATAGATTTAGAAAAGAGTCAATTTATTTCTTTGAGGTTAGGTTTGATTAATTTGAGGTTATGTTTTCGGGGTCAGGTTAACATACTTTGTGAATGCAATAAACATTGCGTTGGGGAGACTTCTCGACTTGTGAATATTAGAATAGATGAACACAAAAATTTTATTAAAAAACTGGAATTTGAGAAATTTAAAATTTGCGATCATGCTTGGGAAAACGGACATATTATTCAATGGCTACAGATTCTAAAAGATGAAGTAAGTAATTATAGAATAAGCATCATGTGATATCTCTAACTATGGAAACAGATAAAAGCACTCTTTAAACTGAAAAGCTATTAAAACAAAAAGATAAAAAAAGTTCAGAAGACGAAAACAGTGGAATTTTGAAACGTTAACGACCTTTTTAAAGTGATATTAAGTAATGCATTTTTGTATTTTATATTTGTCTGCTTTTTTCAGTGTGAGATTTTTTAGCTAGGCAAAACTATTTTCATAAAAGTAACCTTTGATCTATTTGGTTCTCTCGGATATTGTTTTATTTTTAACTACTACCACAAAATAAATAGCTACGCTACAGAAGGTTCGTGGGAATGTATTTAGCGAATAGGTCCTAAGGTGGCTGATAGATGGCACGACGATGCATACTTGTTAAAATTTCAAAACTTTGGAATATAGCGGTATTCCAAAGAAGCAGACTAGCGCGTCCGTTTCCATGACAACCATTTATTGGTACTGCCGCTGTTGTCACATGTTTCTATCTTAATAAAGCGCGTTGCGTTTATGAATTTTAAGGTGGCCGGCGGCCGTATTCCCGGCCGTGAAATAGTTAAATTTCTGGCGTTTTTAGGTACTGAAACCTTGAAATATAAAACGTGTAGAACAAAAGTAAACACAAAAATAAAATCCTTGAAGTACTCTTTACTCATTGTTACTGTTTAAATTTACCCAAATAAAATAATAACTTTTAAAAATGCGTTTATTGATATCCTCACCCCACATTTTAAGAATTGTTTTCACATACTTGTAATAAATAAACGTAAACAATTCTATATGCAGGACTAAACAAGTATACAGGGTGTGCCACTTGAATGTCTTAAGGGATTATTAAATTTATTTAATATTTTCTATCATAATGTCTGTTATATGTAAATTTTAACTTTTCGTTAATACGAAGTCGAGTACACGGTGTACCAAAATTCAATTTCTAAAAAACAGCATTTAGAAGATATTAAATTCAACATTCTGAATCTCAGAAACGAAGCGTTTTCTTAAAATATCCAAAGGAAATTGCGCTACGAAGCTACGGACTATAGTTACGAAACACACATATATTTAAACTATACCTACCTTATAAATTTCGACTTAAAATTGTAACATGTATGTCTTTACTAACTTTTTATGTAAACAAAAAATATATAAAATACAAGAAAGTAGGAATTTTGAAAATAATGAAAACACAAATCTGAAAATAAATAAAAATATATATATTATAAATAAATATATGAAATAAGCAAATAAAAACAAAAATAAACATTATAATAAATAAATAAATGGTAACAGGGTGCATTATAAGAATAATGCATAAATAAAATAAAAAGTGGCAAGTGTTAAATTAGTTGTACACATAACACATAACACATAATAAATAAAATATTTATCAAAATGCAATAATAAACATACATTGTGTCGTCGGAGAGGTGATACGACTCTTGTAAATGACAAAAAATTTTAGAGTTACAATATGGTCTTCTGGGATTGATGTGCCACGATTTCAAGTTCGTAAAATTCAGTATGCCTTGGAAATTTTGAAAAGTTTGATTTCAGTCACTAGTAAAGTGGCATTTCTGTACAAGATATGACAAAATGTTATTAAGAAAAGTTTCTCCGAATAAAAAATTAGGTAGGTGTACACAATTTCAGTGTCATAGCCGTACTTTCAATTTCTGCCTGAATATTTTCGATAACAAAATGCCGTAAGATACGTCAAAATTTGATTAAGAAAACTTTTTCATAATGGAGAACTTTTCTAAAAAAACTAGAATCGTCCGAAAAAAACTTCAAATTCGTCTTCAGCACCGTCGAAAATAGGGTAGAATATTTTTATTAAGACTTGAAAATTTTATGATATAGTAAATTATTATCGTAATTTATGTTATTGTATGTACACTCGCAACATAAAGGTTTCTACTGAGATCGAGAACGATATTTTGTTTAAATTATGAGAGCTTAACCGCTTGCCTATATGCAGTCTGCAATTTTTTTATTATATGTTCCTAAGTAAAAGCAATTACTGACAGCCGTAAATCTTCAAAATTCTTATTAATAACTCAGAGCATCGGTCATTTAAAGTTAGTAAACCTCTTACGTTGGAAACCTTTATGTTGCGGCGACTGTACATGTATTAAAAAAGCAAAATTAATATCTGAAAAATTATTATTAAGGACAGTGGGATTATACAATCTTATATTTTTAAATTATTATTTGCAAAAATAAAATTATGGATTCAAAAAATGCAGTCAGTAGTATTATTCACGTATGTAAGAATTTTACACTTACCACAATGTATAAGCCATTTATTGCATAAATCTTCATTTTTATGTGGGAACCGAAACATTCGAACTCCCGATTTTCGAGTTTCACCACAATTAAAATATTGGCACTTGTTTCCAGCCATTATTGTTATTCTATTCTAGTCTGTGCACTTTAACACTAGTGAAACAAACTGAAATGAAATGATCTGCCGCTATGTGAAAAAAAATTGTATAAAAACATTTGAATGCAGGCCCTAGACCTACGCCCTAGCTTAGCCAGCGCGCGCGAGTGCAGGTGCAACGATTTACAATTTTAACCCAGAATCATGTTTAATACTGTACTGTATACTACTCGCGCTTTAGCAAATTCATAGAACTTCTCAAAACATACGTCACATATACCTAACATATTATAAGACAAAAAATATTATTATTCATTACCTATTTAAATATTTTTAAAATTTCTAAAAAACTCGGTTAAATGTTTTTTTTTCAGTTTGTTGCAGAGTGGCGCACCAAAAACGAAACAGGCGATTTTGAGCACTTAATCAATTTTTAAAAAGAACGAGTAAATTATGCTTTGAAGGAGGAAACTTTCTGAGCATATACTATCAGAAAAATACTTACTCTGTATATTGTCGGGGATTGTTTCAGGATTCGTTACTAACTCTCATCCTTGCTTGTTACATTAATCAATATAAGTATTTACCAATTATGAATTATTCAGGTATCTGCAATAATCCGCAATAGGAGTAGTTCTGCAGTAATGACAAACATTTTGACTCTTTTTTGTGATGTTATCTTTTACAAAAGTCCATGTTTTATACGTCATCGTATACAAAAAAAAAACTGCACAATAATAAATGCAAAAAAACTATTGCCATTTGAAAAAAAAAGTTGATTATTGCTTTTCAAAAAAAAAAGTTTAAAAATATTGCAGTCGGCTTCCTCTGAACTGTATTTAGAACCACTTTATTTGACTTGTTATTTTTTGAAATCGGACTATAAATAACGAAGTTATGGGTTGGGGCGTTTAGGAGACACCCTGTATGTATTTTATTTGTACATATGTATATTCTTAATTACAATTTAATTGTAAATTAAAAAATGTAAGTTGTCACTGGTATATAGAAATGCATATTATACATAACATATATATTATTTAATACTTTTCATCGTTTAGGTATAATATCAGGGCAAATAGAACTTTATTTGCCTTGATAATATCCTAATAATTCCTGTAAAATTTACATCCGGCAACGCTGTCTAAACTGGGCATTAAATCCGACTCGCCTCTGGCGTCACCTACTAGCTAGGAGCTAAACTTACACTCTCTACTGTACATGCGCAGTTTGAAAGAAGCTGGATATTAGAGCCGGCTTCTTTTCGGGGACTACATTTTAATACATTGCACGAGCCTTCTGTAGCGTAGCTATTTATTCTGTGCTACTACTAACAATAAGCTTATAAATTAATTATTACACATTTTTTTTATTTTACGAATTTAGTTTTTAACTTCAATATTTTATAAAAATGATGTTAAATAAGTTTGTTAGTTTTTAAAAATGTCAATGTTAATAAAAGATATACCTTGAAAGAACTACTTCTAGTTTTTGCCTTTATATGCACTTACCGTTATACCTTTGTAGAGGTGTGTAGTTTTTTGGGTTTCCAGCAATTTCTATAAAGTATTTTCCAGCCACATTCCTATTTTTTAGTTTCACAACACCGTCTGGTATTTTGTTGCATACACTTGAAGATTTATAAACTAATGAGAGAAATATACTAAAGTATAATAGTAGTTGTCCGGGTACCATTTTTCACACCTAAAAAAATTGTTTTAAACAAATAATAATTTTTGTGACACATTCCGATTTTTAATTAATGTCGATGTAAATAACTTTTAAGCCCCTATTTTTTTCCAAAATGCCTCCCGTGGGTCCAAGAGAACACTGTATTTTATATTTGTCTTCCTTCTTACGGAAAAATCATTAATAACATTGTTTCCATAAATCACAGAGAGTTAATAGTAAAATTTACGAGGATTATGGTTTTAGGCTGATAACATATGACATTGTGACCTTGGAGGGATTTTTTTTATGAAGCTGTTCATATTAAATATCGTTTTTGGTAGGGTCCTATTTGATAAAATCTGTTTACTCTACAGGGTGATCCACAAATGGTGACCAAAAATGAAACCTCGTATTCTTTGGAGAATTTGAAGAAACTTAAAAAAATGTTTTCATTTTTTTTAAATAATTTAAAAACTAGTAAGTGAAATAATTTGAAATTGGGCATATGTATGTATATAAACATTCTCCATTCTCCAAATCTGAGGCCTTTTCCTAAAATTTAGATGTTCCAATGGCGGAGATACAGGGTATCCGTGGTATATTTTTCTAAAAAATAGTACGCTACTGTTTTACGGTAACAATCATGATATTTTCAAATTCGTCTTTCAATTTTCTACAAATTACTACTCTCTTATGTTTTTCGAGAAAAGCCTGATTTTCGAGTAAAACTTAAAAAACGAATTGAAAATACTTTTACTTAAATGACATGATAAACACTAATCATTCTGTTATTTATTCGAATAAAGAAATTAATAACATTAGTCATCATTTTAATGATTTTATTTGAGTAAATACCTGCATTTCCACGAACATAGGCGCGACATCTTTTTAGTAACGAAAATGTAATTTGTTCGAAATTGATTGTTGCTTGAATCTGATGAAAAGCATTATCTATTCTTTCTTCTAACTGCTCAGAATGTCAAAGTTGCTATCGCAACCTGCTATGTAATTTTAAACCGCATTTTATTCGTATATAGAAGTGTGTTTTCAGTTCGTTTTTCAAGTTTTACTCGAAAATCAGGCTTTTTTTCGAAAAATATAAGAGAGTAATAATTTGTAGAAAATTGAAAGGCGAACCCGAAAATATCATGATTGTTACAGTAAAGCAGTGGCGTATTATTTTATTTAGAAAAATATTCCACAAATACCCTGTTATCTCCGCCACTGAAACATCTAAATTTTAGGAAAAGGCCTCAGATTTTTGACAATTATATAAATACATGTGCCCTGTTTCAAGATATTTCACCTACTAGTTTTTAAATTATTTAAAAAAATTAAAAATATTTTTTTATGTTTAACACTAATCTTTTTAACGAAGCGTCCTAGTAAAAGTTTTATACGAAAGAATTCACCAAAGGATATGAGGTTACATTTTTGGTCACCGTTTGTGAATCACCCTCTGTATGTATATGTGGCCAAGATACGACATGAAATTAATTAACTTTAATAGACTGCATTAGATATTTTGACGTGACCATCTTTTGTTCATAAACATGTACTAGATTCTGAATGACCCACCTATATTTATCATATTGGATACTCAGATCGATTCATGTCTTTTTCTCATAGACTATTGATATGTAAATGGAGTAATGTTCTTACTGCATTTCATTTTTGTAACAGAGCCTTTTGTATATTCCTTTAATTGTTCAGAATGTGACAATTATTTGATGTACAAAATATGTGACCTTTAAATTTATCGTCTTTATCTCCTTCCCTATTATCAAGTTACACTTTTTATTTAAATTTTTTCCCTTAACAAGATTAAGACGTAACATCTGAGATTTATACAGGGTGTTTGGAAAAGTTGGTACAAAATTTAAGGAGGTTTAAGTAGAGCCAAAAATAGTAAAAAAAAGTTCTTATAAACATTGATCTTCCGGAGCACCGTTACTGAGACAGTGAGATATGGCCCTCCAAAGGGGTCTTATCATTTGGATAGTTTTTTAAATAACTTTTTTCTGATTAAGATAATGGAATGAAAATTTAGGTAATAATAAGGGTCTTTAACTATCATCAGAATCGGTTATAAATAAGGAAAGTTTTCTAACTACCCTTAACAGAAATTTATTATTATTATTTATTAAATTATTTTTATTCCTTTGAATTATCAATTTCTCTACTTTTGTTTCGAATTCTGCGTAGTCAGAAATAAAAAAAATAATGGCTCAGAACGGTAACATTTTTTTTAACATTTTGATATAGGCATCTCATAGTGACAGTTTCATTATAATGATACTAATGATTGTCACNATTATTATTATTTATTAAATTATTTTTATTCCTTTGAATTATCAAACAAATAATATTATTTTTTAATGAATTAGACTTTGTTGAAGAAAAAATTTCTCTAATTTTTTTTCGAATTCTGCGTAGTCAGAAATAAAAAAAATAATGGCTCAGAACGGTAACATTTTTTTTAACATTTTGATATAGGCATCTCATAGTGACAGTTTCATTATAATGATACTAATGATTGTCACTTTCGCATGCTATTATTTAAATTCTTAAGTTTCTTTATTTTCTTAGTTGTGATCTTTATGCTTGACTATGCATTTCATTCGATTTTTTTACAACCATGAACCATCATACTTTTGCTAACCGTGAATATGCCGATATACATTTTATTTATGGTTTCTGTAATGGAAATAGTCTGACCGCTCAAAAAGAGTATTGGCAATGTTTTCCTGGTAGAAGGCAATCTTCTGCAAGATTGTTTGGCAAAATTAATGCAAAAGCAAAATCAGGAGCCTTAACTCCAAGATATCGTGGATGTGGCCATCCAAGGAAGCGTAGGCATGATTTAGACACAGTCGTTTTAAGATATTTTGAACGTAATCCTACTGCGAGTGTAAGATTTAGAACAAACACTACTTATGTATGACAGTTGCTTAAGAAAAATGGATACCCTAAGGCCGCTTGTAAACGACGGTTTTTTAGCCGTTTGTAAGCCCGGTGAATCCACCGTAGATTCATACGGTTGATCGGGGAATATTGATTGTTATGGAAGTATGTTACCACACCGCGTGACCGCACGGCGACCGGCCGGTCGCGGTGTACGCATAAGTTTCCCTCGACGCGCTTGGTCTACGCAGGGTAGGGAAATGATCAAGTGGACTATAGTAGCTTATGAGAGCATGTTGACATCACCGGGTTTGCGACCGCTATTAAACCGCATAAGTGTAGACAGAACATTTAAAAATCTAAGGCCTTATCATTCCCAAAGGGTTCATGGTATACTTCAAGAAGATCATGCCTCCCACCTCCGTTTTTGTCACACAATTCTTGGTCGCCAACAAGATAATTACACATTTGTTTCAAATATTTTATCTACCGATGAAGCTTGCTTTACACGGGATGGCATTATCAATTGCACAATCTTCATACGTGGTGTGATGAAAATCCATGCCACTTTTGAAACTCGTCATCAACGTGGATTTTAAGTGAATGTTTGGGCCGGCATTCATTGTTGGCAATCACCTCTTTCTACTGAGTGGATTGGGAGGTGTTGAATCACTAAGCTTTTTGAAAAATGATCTTTTAGACCTGCTAGACGATATTCCCCTTGAATTGCGAGCAAACATGTTTTTTTTTTTACAAGATGGAGCTCATTCACATTATGCTCAATAAGTGCGGCATTTTTTAAATCGATCATTCCCGGGAAAATGGATTGGCCGTGGAAATGATGCGGATGATTTTTATTTATCGACGTAAAAAGAATGGAATATACTACGCCTGTGACTACCACTGAAGAATTGCGGCAACGTATTGGTGAAGCTTTCAATGCCATACGAATTCAACATGAAATTTTTCAGCGTGTTCGATTCAACTTCCTAAGAAGATTACGTGCCTGTATTTTGGTCCAGGGTGGACAATTTAAGTCATTGCTTCGCACTTGGAATTAAGACATTTTGTTTTTTATATATTTTATGATTCAAAGTTATAACCTAAAATTCAAAATAATAATTTATTTAAAAAATACATACATTATTTAAAAAATAATTGTTTCTGACTAAACTATGCAGGGTTAAAAAAAAAGTAGAGAAATTTTTTCTTCAAAATAGTTTAATTCTTAAAAAAATAATATTATTTGTTTGATAATTTAAAGGAATAAAAAAATATCTGTTCAAGGTAGCTAGAAAACTATCCTTATTTACAACAGATTTCGATGAAATTTATGAGAGTTAAAGATCCTTATGATATGATCATTACTTACAATTTTCATTTCATTATCTTAATCAGAAAGAAAGTTATTTTAAAAAATATCCAAATGATGAAACCTCTTTGGAGGGCCCATATCTCAGTAACGGTGCTCCGGAGAACCAATGTTTATACAGACCTTTTTTGCTATTTTAGACCCTATTTTCACCTTAAAATTTGTACCAACTTTTCTAAACACCCTATATATGCTCATTAAATAGCATATTATATGTACATTTTGGGGCCAAGAATGTAACTAGGGCTGCCTACTCAGTTTTAGATAAAAAAAACATTAAATAGATGTCCAAAAATTTAAAAGTATAGATACCAAAATACTATTTGTTTACAATGAACAATGACAAACCATTACGTCTAAGCGTGAAAAGAATCTCTTGAAAAATTACACCAATCACAGTCGGTGAAACAGAATGTTGTGTTTTAATATAATCTTGATCTTATTGTATTAACAATATTTAATTTTACAGAAATTTAATGCCAACATGAAGGAAGTAACATTATCGTTCCAAACAAAATTACTCGTTCCGTGGCTTGTAATCATTTATGAAGGGACTGTATTTAATGGAGCTTTGAAGAATAAAATGTTACTAAGGTAAGTCGACAATTCGACTTTCGTGTGATTATGGAATCGGCCCAAAACTAACCAAACTCAAAAGTTGGTATAAACTTAAAGTACATATCAAAATATAAATTTTATTATTTGAAAATATTTTATTTGTATACGGTTAATTGGTCTACTGCAAGTATATCTAATTAGATTTAATATATTTCTATATTTAATATCGACACTGATGACATTGACTCTTGGATTTCGTCATCTTAACCTTGCTCTGAAAATCTAACATTACGTAGAATTAAAAGTAATGGATATTTATAGTATGTAATTACAAAGTAGTTTTTGACATTGGTGCAACGCATTAGTCAAAAACTTATCATTACTTATTAAATTAGGTAAATATTTAACTAATTCATATAAATTCAAAAAGTTATCCTAAAAATCTTATCAAATGAAGTCAAATAATGTTCTTTGTAATAAAAAATCTAGGTATGCAAGAGATATCCAACGTCATAGACAAGATTCTTAAATGATGATATTGCAAGAGACATCTACTCTGCGGACTATATACCCCGACCAGCATTGAATTATACCAATATCTAGTAAATGATATTAATAATTTTTATTATTAAAAATTATATGGTTAAATGTACATGTTAAATAATGTTATTAATTATTCTTGTTTGTCTAATATCAAGACGAACTCGTAAATATAGTAAGGATAGATAGACATCTACTAAATGCTGCTACCTTAACTGTGGTAGTTCAACGAAAAAAATCCATGTACAATGCAAATCGTTCGATAAGTGCCTGGAGTATCCCTATCAACAATGTGGCGCATATTACACGTGGCTCAAATTTATTCTCATTAGCACCCGCAGATAGTCCGTTATGGGTTAGATTTTGTGAATGTTACAAAATCCCTCACGTGTTAGTCACAGATGATCCGCTGTGTTTACATGCAATGGAATAAATAACGAAGATGTGTTATAGATATAAACTTTAAATTTATTTATTTCTATTTTCCATAGTAGCTATTTGCAAGTAAATTTTGAAAAAAAAATAACCAGTGATGTTCTAGGGAGGCTCTAGGGAGATTCGGCTGCCAAAAAGTTATTAGAAGTTTCAGTGATTTTTATAGATTCTCGTAGATCATTTCCAACCATAGTAATATTTATAAAATTCAATTTCATTATATAATTTCATTTAATAAAAAATCATTTTAATGAAAAATCATCATCAAAAACTAAATCATCTATTGCTTGTCCTCAATCTGTTACGACGACTTAACCTTTTTGAAAATACAGGGTGATTCAGAACTTATACGAAAAAATATAATGCTATTTATTAGTAGTTTATACAAGTTTCTACTGAATTGACAATGACTAATTTACCCCATTACGTCTAACGCTATTCAGTCTAATGGCGGTTTTCCATTAAACGGACAGTTGAGTTTATGACCTGTTTGTATTTTCTAAAACTTGAAAAACAAAAACAAAACTGAAACAAACCCAAAACTCTTATTTCCATCAAGCGGGCTACATTTTGTTCGAGTTTTGTTTTTGTTTTCGGTCCTTTTCCACTGGCTGTAGCGAAGAAGTCAGAACACATTTTTCCAGTAACCAATGTTTAGAGAAGATTTTTTTATTCTTAGTTATGGCTGGTTTATACTGAAGTCCTTGGAAAAAAAGTGAGTGTATCGGCCGTTACGTGAGAGCGATAAAGTATGTTATAGAAATCCGTGCGATAGAGAAGGATGGCTATAATGAAGACGTTTCATAGTCACCGCCCGTTTCGCCTTTTCACAAATAAGATCCACTTCCACTTGTAATTCAGCGACCGGTGGTCATCTTTGTTTTCGTCGTTTGCCTTTTCTGTAATAGATGTCACTACTTATACAATTCCAACTTCGGTATTCCGATATGTCAATACAATCCGTTAACAGAGGGCAGAACAACGCGTAACAAAGAAAACTTTTTACAGTAGCTAGTAGATATCTCTATTTGTAAATCTAGTGACCTTGTTTCCTCTACTGAGAAGTTATTCAAATGGAGTATAGTGCTCAGCTGCATTTAAAGTTCATTTAGTTGTTATTTAAGTATACTTTTTAAAATGACTTAAGAATCCCAAGAAATAAAGCAAAATTCCGTAGATATTTCCCCAATTCCAAAAAAACCTCACCTTAGAAAAATTGTGCTGCCTGTTAACGGATTGTATTAACATATCGGAATACCGAAATTGGAGTTGTATAAGTAGCGACATCTATTACAGAAAAAGCAAACGACAAAAAACAGAGATGTCGCTGAATTACAAGTGGAAGTGGATCTTATTTGTGGAAGGGCGAAACGGGCGGTGACTATGAAACGCCTTCATTATAGCCATCCTTCTCTATTGCACGGATTTCTACGACTTATTTTATCTATCTCACGTAACAGCCGATGAACCATGGGGGCTTTCCGAACCTGTATATATTTTTTAATAGCTATAATTCATTAATGATTAAAATATTGTTTTTGGTATGAGGGAAACGCCAACATAGATATTGGGTTGGATCACTTAAATAGACAACACAACACGACCGTTTCCACTAAACAGACTTGAGTTTCAAAACACGTCGAAACCTTTTGATGTGACGCTTTCGAGCGGGACTCGAAAAAACAAAACTCCAACTGTCACAAAACACGCCAGTCTTCAAAAAGTTTGCGAAAAGTTACAGTTCTCTTTTATTCGACACAAGTTTGTGTTTTGTTTTTGTTTTGTCCGTTTAGTGGAAATGTTTTCATACAGCATACAGTTTAATTCTGTTTCTTTTCGTAATTTGATGCTCATGATCTTAAAACTGTTAATTTTAAATTCAAATTTAATCTTTAGATATTTGTTTGGTCAATTTTTATCTTTCTGTCATAAAAGACTATATTATTAGATTCTCCACACAATATATTTTTTGTGGAATTTGTTTTTTTTTTTACTATACTTATTATAAATTACTCCTTATGAATATGATATGTAAATGAACAATGGCACAACAAAAGAAAGAATAGTTATGTACGACGGAGAGGAAGATCACTCTATTATTGAAGAAAAAAGTAAATCAATTGCTTCACAGATAAAAATATAGGTCATAATATGGGGACTCTTACGAAATCTATACTTAAAAAATCTGCACCAATTGAAGTCGAAGAAAATTTCCCAACCGTATAAAAATAGCTTTATTTGGGTAAATAAAATTCTTAATAATTGATGCTTCTAGAGCATGAAATAACCTATGACCTCCTGTTATACTGTAAATATGTAATTTGCAAGAAACAATGCGTCAAAAACCAAAGCGTCTTTTATAACTGCAAATGGTGCAACAATAAAATTACCCCGTTATGTTAAACGGATGGGAAAAAAATCAGTTTTGTTGTACATAGTATAAGAATAATCTGCAATACTGAGTTTTTATTGCGTATTTATTCAATATCGCGATTTTTTCTCTTCAGCCCCAGTGATCTACAATTTATAATATTTTCTTATTTTGACTGAATATAACATATCTTGCAGATTTTGCAAGATATCAATTTTTTTGTCAGAAACATGTATCTGATCCTAGACCTGAATCTGGCAGTTTCGGATATCATTTTTAGTAAAATAATAATTTCTAAATAAAAAGGAAAATCACTAACGTATATTTCAAAAAGTTATAACGTATGTAGGTACCAAAAAAAAGATTTAGTTTGTAAAGAATGTAATTACTGATCGTTCTTGATGCCAAAAATCAATATGAATATGAAAAGTTGCAAAAAAATGTCTGCCATTTTTTTTTTATAAAATATCAAACATCTGCTATATGAAAAGTTACTAAACAATGTCTGACATTTATTTTTTATAAAATATCAAATAACTCATTTGGAACGTCTAGATCTGGGTCTATATACCTTTGATATTCAAAATTTCAGCATTCTTGCAAAAACATTTGTAAAATGAATACAAATAACTATGGTTAACATATATATTTTTTTCACTGTTGAGAAATAATGCTACAGAAGAATTCCTATGTACTAAAGTAGGTTTTGTTTACAGATAATTCTAGAATAATAATGAAATAACAAAACTGTGGATGTACTGCATACTTTCATAAAACAAGTGCAACAAAAATATGTATATTATTAAATATTTAACACCTCACTGCAGTAATATTTATTCAGTATTAATATTTATTTACAAATAATGAATGTCTAATATTAGCTCGTATACATTGGTATAAAACACAGGAAGTCTTTTTTTAATGATTCGAAGGAAGAAAATGGCCTTCTTTACTCACCCCAATGAAATAATCTGATTAATTTAACAATACTGACACCAAACACGCTTAAACCACATGTAATCACTAGAACCAACTTTATAACGGACTATACTGAGCACAGATTCTTTCAGAGAGCGGCTTTATCTTTAAAAACATCTTGTTAGCTAGAATATTAATTACATCGGCGAAAATAATTGGCGTTTGATTGTCAACAAGACGCAAACGAACATTATCGCTTACTGAACTATACCAACTACACAGATTAATGCCCCAGACAGACAGTTGAGTACTTGAATGTTCAAGCCTCATGTTTACGAGCAAAATGAAAATATGTCTAAATATAAACATATTTAAAATATATTGGCAGCTTACAAATAAATATTGAAATATTTAATCAATCTTCTATAAAGTAAAACTTATAAATTATTATAGTCTAGTAGATATCTGAATCATGAAATAATTTAATTAATGAGGAATATCTGACGTTCGGATAAGTTTTTGCTGTTGTTTTGAGTACTCCTTAAAAGTGTCTAGCTATATGTCACTGTAAGGTATTATCATGGAACAGCATAATTGAGACTGTTTAATTTGCAAGATAATTCAGGCTACTGTGGAACTAAAAGATTAGGCTGTCCAGCTAGCTGTGGATTTCGATTAGTTTCTTGGATTTGCCAATCTTGCTATCCTTAGGCACGTTGTAACTGGCTTCAGGATAATGGTACATTTTGGATCCGGAGACGCACTCAAAGAGTTGGTTTTAGAGAGTTTCAACTGACTCTAGTCTGTTTTGCACTGGGGTTTTAAGAAGCACATCAGTTTGTAATTGTTATTTGAGACCTGTCAGGTTTAGGAGCTTTTTGCACTACGTCTCGTAGAAGAACTTGTGTATAGCGGCTTTAGGAGCTGTGTGATTGGCAACTTTAGGAGTATGTACCGTTTGAGGGTCTTTGCCGCAGGTAAGACAAACCTATAACTCAAAAATGGAATTTTAGAGTTTTATGCTTTATTGTTGACTTTTGAGCATGGATATTTGACATTAGATAGTATGTATGGACATGAGCATATAGTCAGTTGTAAAATTTGAATCGTTCTGCAGGTACTGGCTAGGTATCCATCCCTGGTTATAAATCTGCCGATGTACAAGATCGACGTCCGACCAGAGGCAGGGGCATCTTAGTTGGTAGCTGTCTTGTGCGGTTTGGTATAGATCGGCACAATTCCTAGTCCTCGGCTTTGCCATCCTGATAATTTCCGAGCCTTTAGAACATTTATGAGCACTTACAATACAAACTAGAACAGTGTATATTCGCCAGTTTATTTTAAAAAAGGTATAAATATGCTTAGACAATTATATTGAAAAAATTGGTGCTATTCGTTGCTGGAATTCAATAAAATACAATCATGTTTGTTCTGTTCTAGTCTGAGATTAGTTTGCTATGACACTTTGTTGAAATCAATTGAGTTGATGCACAAATTTGGCTTACATTGAATGTTTCTAGTTTAATTTGAGTTTAGCCTAATACAATCAATTCTTAAAAACAAATCAGAAATACATCTTGCAAATATTAACTTTGTACTATGAAATACTGTACAGTGTTCATACTTGCACCATCTACCCTCTTATTGTTTTTACCTTTCCATACAGAAAAAAATGGTAAAGGCCAAAGTTTTAGGATTTCTTGCCATTTCAAAACAATATATGAAAAAAACAATTCACTGTTGCATTTCAAAGATATAGACCAATATAGTATTTTTTTAAATGGAATACTCTGTATATTTTTTGTGATTACAATAATATACTCGTATACAAGTGGTATATACGCTTTGGTAGTTTATTTAATATTTTAGTTTGTTTATATGGAATCAATGCGTAAGTATGTTTTTTGGTATTAAATTTACTAAATAAATATTTAAATTATATATTAAGAAAAAATTATAAAGGTTGTTTTACAATAACATCATCCTGTTCTAGGAGGACATATATGTATTTGATGCAGGTACCTTGTTACTCACATCATTGATAGTATAACTTCAATAACTGAACTTCATATTTTCTAAGGTCATATAAATTTTTCATTTACTTTATGTTTCAGAATCTTCCATACAAAGAACTACGTTGGGATCATAAATTTACATTAATGATTATCTTATCAAATATTTAAATACATTTCATGAATATGGTTGTGCGCCATTTTCATTCCGAAGAGTGCGCAGCATTGTTGTTGCATGTTGTAGTAAACACGTTGCGGTTAGACAAAATGAAGCGGAGTGTGTAGCTGAGACTATGCGCAAATTACATGGAATTTTCGGTAGATGAAACGCCTCGAAATGTGTAACTGTAAAAAGATTAGTTTTGAACTTGAATCTGAATAAACAAAGTCGGTTACTGACTGAAAAAACAGGACGTTAGTGACAATGTGGCGGAAATTCTTGAAACCTCAGTGCGTCGTCGGTCACTAAACATCTCAAAAAGCACAATGCAGCGGAATTTAACAAAGTATTTGCATCTGCATACATTCAAGATTCAGCTAACTCAGGAATTGAAACCAGACAATCATTTAATGCAGCACTGATTGGATGTTCGCGAATTCAACTTGTGAACGGTGATTTTGCTAAGAAGACCATCTTCAGTGACGAGTCGCATTTTCATCTTACAATTAGTCGGTATGTAAACAAGCAAAACTGTTGAATTTTGGGGAAGAGACAATCCTAGTGTGAAAATTCGTACCTATATATTTATAGTGATGATTATACAGGGTGGCCAAATGAAAACGAAACAGAGCAATTTTCAGGAACTGCATCAATATTGTAGAAAAACGCACAGACCCGTCGATTTTAGATTAAAGGGGGACATTCTTTGCTCGCATTTTTGACTCCGCCACTTTCACCCCCAAGCAAGGGTGAGCATCACCCCAAAATATTTAAATGGCATTGGGGGTTGAGTAATATTTATTTTGAAAGATCTTACAATTCTCTTTACAACAGACTTTAAATTTTATAGTTCCACCCAATAGTTATTAAGAATTTTGATTTTAAAGTTGAAACTTATGTACAAACAATTAGTAGGTAACGGTAAAAATGTCAGTCATTCGAATTAAGTACGCCAATGGAATAAATTTAGTATTTCTTGTGTTTTGGCGATTTGTTATCACTTTCGTAAAAAAACACAATTGTAAAAAACAGAAATGAATGCTATACACCACACACAATGAACGTAAAATTAGTAAATTCCAAATTATTTTCCAGTATTATTTGGAAGCGTTGGTTGGTAGTTTATTTAATTGTGTTTTTGAAAATTATACACTATGGTTTATTCCATTGAGGAAAGGGTAGATACCATTTCGCTTTACTTTATGAACAATAAATGTGCGAATAGAACAGCTCAGTTATTTAATGAACAACATCAAGATCAACATGCCAGTAGGAAGTATGTTCTAGAGTTAGTAAAAAAATTTCAAGAGACAGGGAACGCAGCCTATAAAAAACGAGAAATTGAAAAACCTATAGTTAATGAAGCGAGTGAAGTTGCAGTTTTGGGACAAGTTAATCTTGATCCTACATTAAGTACGAGGCAGCTGGCATCTGTGTCCGGGATCAATCGAAGTAGCATACAAACCATTTTGAAGAAGAATAAATTCCATCCATACAAAATACATTTAGTCCAGGAACTTCATGAGGATGATTATGGCCGCCGTTTGCAATTTTGCGAAATAATGAGTGAGCGAGCAGGGAACGATCCACAGTTCCTTTTTAACATCTGTTTTTCTGATGAAAGCAGTTTTTTCTTGAACGGGACGGTAAATCGTTACAATTGCCGCTATTGGTCCGATTCAAACTCAAGAGTTTTTCACGAGGTGCATACACAGCAACCGGAAAAATTAAATGTATGGGCTGGAATTTTCGGTAACCGGCTGGTGGGTCCTTTTTTTCTACCTGGTAATTTGACTGGCCTAATGTATTTGCAATTACTGGAAGACGCTATTGACCCTGCTTGGACTGATATTATTGAAAATTGATTTTTCAATAGGAAGGTGCTCTTCCGCATTATGCGTTAATTGTCCGTCAGTATTTTCGTTTTTTACGGAATTGGATTGGGAGAAGAGGCAGTATTGAGTGGCCTCCACGATCACCGGATTTATCGCCCCTTGATTTATTTTTGTGGAGATACCTAAAAAGTAAAATCTATAAGACACAGCCAGCGTCGCTGGAAGATTTGCGTCAAAGAATCGTCGACGAATGCCGTCGAATCACTCCGGAAATGCTTCGGAATGTGCCAGAACGTTTCGAACAAAATCTTTATTCTCGTATGGAAGCGGGCGGTCATCAGTTTGAACATTTAATCAACTAAGTAGTAAGTAAGCAACTAAACATAATTTAAATTTTAAAATGTATTTTTTTTTCAAAATATTGGGCGGAATTATAAAATTTAAAGTCTGTTGTAAAGAGAATTATAAGAGCTTTCAAAATAAATATTATCCAACCCCCAATACCATTTAAATATTTTGGGGTGATGCTTACCCTTGCTTGGGGGTGAAAGTGGCGGAGCCAAAAATACCAGCAAAGATTTTCCCCCTTTAATCTAAAATCGATGGGTCTGAGCGTTTTTCTACAATCTTGACGCAGTTCCTGAAAATGACTGTTTCGTTTTCATTTGGCCACCCTGTATGTCTAAAATTGTAAATACGGTTCTATAGTTACCAAGAAATTATCCTGATGACCTTACTAGATATAGGTACTGGGTGTCCCGGTACTTAATACAAAAAAGGCGAGTATAAATAGATGAGGTCATAATAATATCAGTTCTTTATAACGAGCGTTCAAATAAAAACGTGGTCGAAGTTGGCTCTGACACATTGGACGTAGAGCGTAGCTTATAGCGACCAACTTAACCTCATTTCTCAACGAGCTGTATAGCAGCTGTTAGTTTCAATAACAAAGCGGCGATACAGCGCATGATGCAAATTTGGTGAAACTTCATTATGCCCAGAACGCCAGGGACGGACTATGCCGAATGGTTAACAACCCAGAATTTTTGCATAGATGAGGATCGCAATCTGCCTGTATCAAAAATAAGTTCCCTGAAGAATTTGCCAACGATAATACCTTCTTGGTTCAACACGGTAAAATTAACAGTTTAAGAAATATTTATCATTTTATGTCACAGTGCACATCGAGCCTCAGCCATTTTTTAATTTTTAATTG